AGGCCCGAAATGTCAGCCTTCCTGCTCCTCTGATGCTGCTTGGCCTGCTGTGTTCATCCAGCTCTACACCTTGTTATCTTAGATTCTCCAGCATCTGCAGTTCCTACTATCCCTATACTAAAATCAATGTTGATTGTGGCTTCAGCTGAAGTCTTATTTCTTTTCCAATCAATACCCCCGGTAACATCTATTGATCTGATCCATCTGAAAGGTCAAGTAAGAAGTTAACCTCTCTCCCATTGAATGACCCAACCAGGAACAAAGATTAATGAGGAATTGTCAGAAAAAAAATCAGAGAAAGATGGAGGGGTGAAAAGAAAGGGAAATCGTTAAAAATGGAAAGAACACTCCCAGCAGCTCAGTCAGACTATCCAGTGTGTAATTTAACCCTGCAGACATTTCTTGAATTTCTTCAATGACATAGGAATGAATTTTCACATGGTCTCCTACTGATCTGACTTAGTCTCAACCGAAGAGATGGGCACCCACTTAATTAGCAATATTGCACCAGCTTAAACATGGCCCTTTAAACATTGATACATATACAAGATGCAGTGCAACAACTCATCAAGCCTTATTCACCCGTTCTCTGCAAACCCACAACACTTCCCCATCCAAGAAGGACAGAAGCAGTAGATGTATTGCCTGAAAGTACCCCTCGAAGAGATAACACTGTCCTGACTTAGAAGTATATCATTGTTCCCTCACTGTTCCTGGGTCAAAATCCTGAACTCTGTCCCTAATAGCACTATGCGTGTGCTAAAACGCCAACAACTGCAGTGGTTCAAGAAAGCAGCTCACCACCACCTTCCAAAAGGCAATTAGGGATGGATAATAAATGTTGGTTTTGTCCACATGCCCCAATAATGCATTTCACTGGTGCAATGCCCTTCAATAGCTTTTAAAAAATGATTGGAAAGGGATTTCAGCCAGTCCTTTTTGATTGCAATGATGCCACACATCATCAATTTTATGACGTTCCTTGGTGCAATGCTGTCACTGAAGCTTGGTCCAAGGTTTTCAATAGTTTGCTTGTTAACATTTCCCAGACCATGACTTCCTGTTAACTCATTTATCATTGTAAGCAGTACCTGCCCATACAAAGAAATATCTTTACAAATTCAATTTTACTTTTGAGGTTAAATTCACTGATCCTGCACCACCAGAGGGGAGCCTAGCTCAAAGGGAATTGAATAATTGAGCCTCGGGTGATGTCGTCCTGTCACTAATGTCCAATCTACTGAGTACAGATCCCCCAGGGGTCATGGGTCAGTCGTTTAGCCTATATTACCAGCTGGTCTAAGTTTATGAGGTATTTGCCATGGTGACAGATAAACTTTAATCCTGCCTCAGAACTCAATCCAAATTTGAAATCTTCTGGCAATATGATTTACCTCGTCCGTTCTTCCTTTCACAGCATCTGTGAAATTTCCTTTCTGGAAAATGGAAGTAAACCCCAAAATCTCATTAAACACCTTAGAAAAGAGAAGATTGGATGAGGTTAGAAGTAGGGGAATGAATGTGTAAGCTGATGGAGTAGTCAACACTTTTCAGAGATTTCAATGGGTGTAAAAGCAAAAATGTTTCCATTTGTGGGAAAGTCCAAAACTAGTAGTCATAAACAAAAGAGAAACACCATTAAATCCAACAGGAAATTTGGAACTGGTTGCCACAATGAGTTGTGATGAATGTTATGGATCAGAAAATCACACCAATGAAGTTAGGGGAAAGAGAATGAGAGCACCATCGTGCAAAGCATAAACACCAGGGAGCTGTCTATTTCTGTAAATTCAACATAAGTCACATTTTTTTCTGACAGAAATTTGAAAACCCAAAATGTGCAAATGGAAAGCCATAATGATTCAAATGGTCTCAAATTAATATGGTATAAAGTCATGTTTAATCTCTTACAGAGCTCCAACTCATTGTTTAAAACAGGACATGATTCAGAAGAATGTTCTCTAAAATAATAGACTTCTATTTCAACCGAGAAAACTGACTTCATTTCTCATTAGGAAGCATCAATATCCCATGAGCAAAATGAGAGTCAGAAACTTCTACTAATCGCAGGCTTCATAAGTATTGCACCAGACAAGTATAAGGTAGTTAGAACATCATTAAATTGAATACTTTAGTAATATCTTACCAATGTACAGGGAGGAATCCTTCCTTTGGACATGATCATCTATGTAAGACACACCAAGAGGTTGGACTGGAGTAGCACCAATACCCAATAGGACTTGAGCTCCAATTAGTAGGAGGTACATCATGTTGGTAGAAGTCCTGTTCCTGCAGATTATCTTGGCCTCCTGTTCTTGGCTGCTTGCTGATACATTCCCAACACACAGGTCGTGGCCTTCCAGTCCCCAGGGAATCTCCCCAGATTCATACTCGTACTGGTGAGTGAGGAACTCTGGCAGGGCAGAAAGCAAAGCCCCCAGGGCCATTACGATGCCCCCACATCCTATGAGGCGTGGCCTGTGCCCTCTCGCCCCAAAGTAGCTCACAAATAATATCAGGGCTAAATTTCCAATCTCAAAGCTGCTGGCGATAACACCAACGTCAGCGCTCTGTAAGTTAAATCTCCTCTCCAGAGTGGTGAGCACGCTAACCTGCATAGAGAAAGAAGTCCCAGTGTTACACAGAAGTGATCGTTGAACAGCAAGATGTTAAATCAGTCATCATACAATCAGACAAACTCTACGTGGCAGGCTAGGCTAGAATAAAAATGAAGCAACCTCCAGCCAACACCTACACATTCCAAATTGCCCTCTGTGGAACTCCATGTAAAATGATGTATGGGATTAAGAGTGAAATTATATTTTTCAGCTGTCTCAATCCAGATTTTTCAATGTCAAAGCCCCCTGTACAAGAACCAGTCATAAACCAGTCACACTACCCAGTGCCAAAATGGCATCCTAACTGCAGAAAGTGGCAGGCAGCCTTCTTGAATGACTACAGTCTTTGGGTCACAGGGGCACTTACAGTGTTGTTAGAAACAGAATTAAAATTAAATACTCAATTAATATGCAACTGACATGTGTTGGAATGCCCAGCAGTTGTGCCAGGTGGTAAAGAACTGCAAGTCTTTCATTTCTCTTGGGGTATGACTAATGGCCCTGCACTCTCGGCATGCCTTAATGTTAAGGACATGGCTCACCCACTTCAGTTTTTATGTAAAAGTCACTAGGAACACTTTAATTAATGCCAAATTTACATGAAAACCAGAGATTTTTTTTAAGAGTAAAGTCTTCTTTAGGTCACTTCTTGTATTCTAAACAACAATCTCTCTTCCAAAGGAAGAAAAAGGTGAACAGGGCAGCAACTTATGCAATTTAAAATTTGAAACTATGTTATATTTATGAAAAATTGTTTGGTGGTAAACTTCCTTAATCTGAGAAGGCATCATCTCAAAATGGACAGATCAGTGGAAATTCAAATAAAGAATTTTGGCAGATTTGCTTTTAGGAAGCTGTAGGGTGGTCTCATTACACCTCACCTTTAGATTCTATACTTCAACTGGGTCAATAAAGCAGAAAAAACAATATTTTGGAACATGGACAGAAACGTGTTCTGATGCTCAGTGCTAAAGTCTCATCCTGTGAAATTGTATACCTGATGTGTGTTGCCAGCTGTGACAATGCCTCATTTAGACTCATACTGATGACATCCTGTTCATTCATGTTAATTGTGGTGAACCAACTCCTAAGGCTCTTGTTGTGCAAGCTCTGGAGACTATGTGTATACTGATTTGAAAATAGTCAATACTGGTTATCTGTTGCTGTTAGCTTGTCAGCTACCTCTAGATTTTAATCCTATATTAATTTTGCCAACTTATACCAATTTCAAACACTGATCTTAACTGCAAATTAAATCAGCAAGCAATGAATGCAGAATTACTGTGATAGAATAAACTGTATTTGTAACCTGTATTATTTGTTTTATCAATAATCTTCATCAACTATTTACACAGTCACTACGGGAGATCTTTTTAGACTTTCACATAAGCAAATTTATTCCGAATGAAGTGAAAGAAAATATAGATCAGGGATGGGCATGTTGACATTGTTCATCCATAGTTAATATTAACTCCAGTGTAAAAACCAAAAGTGGATGCTGGAAATCAGAAACAAAACAGAAATTGCTTGAAAAGCTCAACAGGTCTGGCAGCATCTGTGGAGGGAAATCGGAGTTAACTTTTCGGCTCCAGTGATGCTTTCTCAGAACTCCCGTGTTTAGGTTTATCTTTGCTATCTATCACTCTAAGCCCTTTTATGTGACTTCTTTGGTAACTGGTGAGAAATAGTTAATTCATCCAGCAGTGCCATAAAGGGAGACTGGTCATATAACTGCTAATGCATTCCAATTGGTTGAAAAGTGACAGTCTGCAGATCCAAAACATTAGCATTATTCACTCCTAGTCATAAACCAGGTGGTATAACACTGATAGATCCTTGATGAGGATGTATGGTGAAGTGGGTTCAGGACTCACTTGATGGCCTTTAACAAATATCCTTGTCACGTTATCCATCTCACAGGTCCTAAGTCTCAGGGAAGTAATTAAAGACAATAAGCTGGATGGAGTACTAGTTGTACTAGAGCTATTGTCAGAGTGAAAGTAGCAACTGGTAAAGGGTAAAGTGAGACTCATGTGTCACAAAGAGTGATTAATACCTGGAATGGTCTCCAGGTGAGGATGAAGGCAGGCATGGTGCAAACAACATTTATCAATATCCTGGGGTTACAATTGATCATAATTTCAACTGGACTAACTATTTAAGTTCTGCGGTGACAAGAGTAGACAAGAATCTAGGACTTCTGCTGGAAGTAACTCACCTTCTGGGTCCCTAGTGCTTATCTGTAACTACAAGGCACAAGGCAGGAGTGTAATGGCATAGTCTTCACTTGCCTGCGTGAATGTAGCTTCATTACCACTTAAGCTCAATACATCCAGGACAAAGCAGCCTGCGGCACTGGGACCCCATCCACAACTTTCAGGATTCACTCCATTCACCACTGACATACAATCACAGCTTTATGTACCATCTACAAGATGCAGCAACTCACCAAGGCTCCTTAGACAGCATCTTCCATAGAATCCCTTTAGTGTGGAAACAGACCCTTCAGCCCAACAAGTCCACACTGACCCTCAGAGCATCCCACCCAGACCCATTCCCCAAACCCTCCTAATCTACACATCCCTGAACACCATGGGCAATCCACCTAGTCTGCACATCTTTGGACTGGGGGAGAAAGCCAGAGCACCCGGAGGAAACCCACGCAGACTCAGGGAGAATGTGCAAACTCCACACAGACAGTCACCCAAGGGGGAATTGAACCTGGGCCCCTGGCACTGTGAGGCAGCAGTGCTAACCACTGAGCCACCATGCTGCCCCAAAGGTGAGAAAACCTTCCAGATGCAAGATCTCTACTACTTAGAAGAAAGGCAACATATGCATGGGAACACCACCATTTGCAAGTTCCTGTCCAAGCCATACACCATCCAAACCTGGAAATCTATCACCATTCCTTCACTGTCATTGCCTTCTGAACAACACTGTGGATGTACCAACACATCAAGGGATGCAGAAGTTCAAGAAGACAGCTCGCTATCACCTTCACCAAGGCAATCAGGGATGGGCAGGAATCAATGTCACCAATGCCCCATGTCCCATGAATGAATAAAAAATCTGAGTAATAATCAGTGATTGAGAGTGTTGGGATATTGTGGAGTTGGTGAGGGGAGAATACTCTGAGACCAATGGTTTCTCAGGACAATGATGCAGATGACCAAATGGCTTCCCTAATCTGTGCTTGCTATTGTGATGAGCACTATTTTCCTCATGAGGAAAGATTCACAAAGTTAAAGCTTTATAGTCTGTGAAAAAATGTTGATGGGGATTTGGAGGAGGTTTGCAACGAGCGAGGAACATCACCAATATATTTAAAGAAATAAATGCCACTGATGAAGTAACTTATAAGTACAACTTCAAGAAAAACAACAATAAAATTTGAGCTGGGGAAAGATGAACAGTTGTTTTAATGCTAATACTTTCTTATGATCTGTAAAACTCTGCTCAGAATCATGGCAAAAGCAGACTTGGCAGTATTTTTAAAAAAGGAAATTGATAAATATCTGAAATGGACAAATTTGCACAGTCTTAGGTAAATAACTTGTAATGTGAAGTAAATGGGTAGCTTTGCCAAAGAGCCAAATGATCTTATTCTGTGTTGCAAGGTTCAATGATATTAAACAAAAAATCTTCTTTACTCAAAGGCTGATAAATGTTTGAAATGATTTATCAGATTAAATAGTGAATCAGGAAATCCATGAATGTACAAAATAAAGCAGCATGCTAGGATGTTGAGAAGCAAAACAAGAATGATACATGTCATTGGCTCAATTACCTCTTTCCCATCTTTAAAATTTAATATAATCCTTTAATGATGATTGCCATCATTCAAAGATCAAACAGCTGAGTGTCCCTGTGACTCCAACAGATCGGGCTAGTATCATAAGCAATGCTAAAAACTAGGAATGAACTTTATCCAGCATGGATACGCATACCAGCAAAGGAAATTTAAAATGCAAGTTAAAGTTAAGTGCAAAGAATAAGTGAGCAAATTTGTAGGCAGCCAGTGTTTAACTGATTTACCAGCATTATCACCTGCTCCCAACTAGAACATCAAAAGAAAACTTTTACCTCTGGGATTGAGATCTTGCTTCTGATGTCCAACCCCAAATATGGCACAAGCTGCATAAAGTATATTATGCAGAAGTGAGATGAAAAGGAATCAAGTGCTTTGCCTTTAAATGTCTCATCAATTAAAGGGGCAATGGGATCTATAGTGTCAATTCTGCATTTAGCTGTTCAACAGCAGGAATTTCACAAGAGATCTCAGTGCTGTCTTTCATGGATTGTGGAGATATAACCTTGCTCACTAAAACAATGCTACATTTCTTCCCATAGCCTCACAAATCAATCAGATTACAGCAATAATGATTTCATAATTACTTAAATATGATAACTGCAAAGGGAGGAAATTTGTCATTAATTGTGTATGTACCATGGTAGAATGTAGAACTGCCTTTCACTAACAAGGATTTTGAATAAATAAACGATTCTGGTTTTAAATTGCCTATGTGAATCAAACATACCTTTTAAATAGAACTCAAAGAGCACAAGAAGCTGTTTTTCCATCACCATAAGCTGTGTGAGTTCTGCTGCAAAGAACTACATAGTATTTACAGCACAATATCAGGCTACTCAGCCGAACTGGTCTATACTAGCAGTGATGCTCCACGTAAGTCTGCTCCCAGTCTACACTATCTCCCTAACTCCTTCCTTGTCTTTGCTTCCCACTTATTCAGCTTAGTACCTCCTGTTCTACATCCTTATCTGTCTTGAGTTAAGAAGTTTTTACTTGATTTGTAATTGGATTTAATAGCAACTTTCTTGCATTTATCATCCTTTATGTTTGACTGTAAATAATTGGAAATATCTTCTCTATACTGATGCTATTGAGCATCTTCATCATTTAAAGCCCTCTATTAGGTCACCCCCTCAACCTTCCCTTTGCTCAAGATTATTGGATCATATGAAATAGGGAC